GGTGTTATATAACTTTCTTTTGTTCACGAACCTGACTCAGTACACTGCTGACCTCTTTTCAATAGGGGCCAGATTAGTGTGCAGTGGTGCTGTGTGGCTCATCGCTGCGGTGGTGGAGCGCTTTTGTCCCCGGTGTTAATCCGCTCGCTCTCAATGCCCCAAACCCTAGTATACAGTTTCAAAACAAGGCTGGATTATCACCACTTTTGAACGAGAAAAATGTTGGTAATGCCCAGCAGCCTGGTCTTTTGTTTGGTGTACCGTCTTTTGTTACAGGGCCCTGTTTCCTTTGTCCGAGTTCGGAGATCCCGGCCACCCATATAAACCATGCGTCTCCGATCCCCGAGTCCCCTGGCAGGAAGTGGTTAATATGTTCTACTCTCTACCAATCATCCAAATCCATCTCTAACTCTATCCCCCAACAGGAGCCAACATCCTATAAATTTGTTACTCCATCCATTCCATCCATCTTGTACAGCATACCTATCCCATCATCCCATCCTTCTTGCCCCTTCCCATCGTCCTATCCATCTTCTACTCCTCTCCCATCGATCTCCTACTCCGCCAACCAATCTCATCATTCTATGCAGAGGGCAAGTGGTTGGTCATCAACAAACAAGATGCAGATGGCAAACTATGAGGATTTTAGTGAAGTGCATTTATGGGTATTATAGGAACTAGGACTCTCGTAACAACAGGCAACTGGATCCCATGATTATAATTCCAATTAACAAAATCCAAAAGTACAGTATTTTCCACCATTCCCTACCACTCTACTGCCAGACTTGAGCACTACACTGGCATGCTGATCACTTCCCCTGCATTCAACAAGTACAACTGCAAGGGACTCTGCTTCAACTTAAACCTTGTATTTGTAAGTTTTTAAATGAGAAATAAAATTACAGTCCAATCTTAATAACTCAAACTTAACAGGAATGGCAAAAAAATGAATATCTAATTTTCAAGCAAAACAACTGTTTCTGAGTTGTAGAGTCATGATAAGTCTGCAGTAGAACATTTTTGAGGTTATTTTCCTGCTTTTTATTAATTCCAATGGTGCATAGTTTTGCTCACAAATCATCATTTTCTGAACATCATATTCAGAGATTTTATATTGTTGCATGTACATTAAAGTTTCTTTTCTATTGATAACATGCAAAAAACCACACATGCTTTTAGTCAGTAGCCAACAGATAAAGACACCTTTGGGTGGTAAAACTTCCATGTCGTTGGTCTATCTTGTTTACAGCACAACCTGCAGCGCATTGTCTGGACTTCCTTTCACTTGGATTTTTAATCTGGTCATGCATGGGTCTGCAGTAGCAATCAGGCTAGCTGGAAAGCAAGGATTTGTTCATTCATGCAGCACGCATATATGAGGTCCCAGTGTAAAAAAAAAGACGAAATGTGCTTGGCAGTGATGACTCATAATCCTACTCTCACTTTTCCATTTACCACTTCTTGAAGATGACCAGCATATGGATATGATAAATAGCACGCACAGCTCATGCATTCTGCATGCAAGTTACCAAGTTGCACTTACTGCGTGCATTGTGGCAGGTTCTTTTAAATGATTCATCTGCGATCTAGACATAAATTGTTTGTAAGTGGGCTCTGAACATATTTTGCTCAGATTTTTCCCGAACCATTTTCAGCAAGTAATTAGTAGAAATGAGAGCTTCTCTTTCTAATATGTTGTGTTGACATTTACCAAGGCACTTCCTGATAGTAAAGTTGACAAAAATGTAATTAGGTACCCATTAATCAGCTGTCAGAATGCAGGTACAGCAAGCACAGCCCTAGAGGATTTGCTAAGCATCAGGTTTATTGTTATGGATGGTGGCTGTGTACGGATGGGTAGCTGGTATAGGGAAGATTTAGTGTGAGGATGAGTGTGGTTCAGAAAAGAACCGGGAATAACTCTGAACCGCACATACTCATAAGAGAGATATATTCCTTCGCATAGTGCTACTGCAAGCCTTTCCACCTGTTGCTGTCCTTCACCATGAATAGCCTAAAATTACAGAACTATCTTACTACCAGGAATCTTTTTGATGAATTCAGGATCAATTACTAACAAGTGCGACGAACTGAAAGTTTTGCTCAACCCGGCTAATGATTGCCGAGTGGTTGTCGCAGCTATTACAGAAACCTGACAACAGGCTGATGTCTCTAATGAATGCCTTGCTGTGAATGGTTTTGATCTCTTCACTTGAACCAGGTCCAATAGACATGGAGGTGGAGTTGCTGTTTACATGTATATCAGAAATGGCATTCCTGCAAGTATCTTGACTGTTGCAGCTGTTTCAGACGACTTTGAGTGTTTATGGCTCTGAGTCCGCCCCTATCGTTTGCCTCATAACGTATCTGGACTTTGATATCTGCCTTCTACATTCCACCATTGCTACGAGACAATGAAGAATTGACCGAGCATGTTAAAACAACATTAGACAGACTGAAATTGCAATATCCCACATCTGGTGTAATTATTTTAGGTGATTTTAATCGCACTGATGTTAAGCAATTGTGCAGAGCCCACTCATTCAAGAGAGTTGTCAATCATCCTACTTGCAGTAATGCCATTTTGGATTTAATTGTAAAAAATCTACATAATTATTATGGTACCCTGTGGTAAGCTCACCACTTGGAGAAGTGATTATAACACGGTTTATTGGTCCCCTTCAGCGTAGGAAGGGCAGGGTATAATTCAGAGGAAAATTATTTGGCCTTTATACAGGCATAGGCTTTTTGAGTTTGGGAGATAGATCGCTATTCTTGGCATGAGGTCTTGTTTGAGCCAGATACTTTTGACAAGGCTAAAGCATTTTACGCTACTGTCTCTGAGGCTGCTGAATTTTATTTTCCCTCTAACATGGTTAAAATGTATTCAGAAAATAAGCCTGGTTAACCCTGAAATTAAAAAATATTATAAAGAAATGCCAGGTTGAATTTGAAGAAAGGAATTGGTGTTGTGGTGATATTTGTGCAATAAAATTATTCATGATATTACATGCGAAGAAAACATATTACAAGGACCGTATTCAGAATCTAAAATCAACTGATCTATCAGCATGGCATAGGACTATTCAGTTGATAACAAATCGGAACCAACAATATCTGACCATCAGAGTACCAAATCCTCCGCAACATGATATGTCAGCAATTGCAGAGGCTATTAATGATACCTTTACCTCGGTCTCCACACATAGACTCCCAATCAGCCTTGCTGATTTGCTAGCATTTCTACCTGCCTGCCCACCTCCACAAAGCCATGTGTGAAAAATGTATAATGCCACGAGAAAGCTTCATCCTAAAAAAGTTGCTGGCCTTCCTGCTGGCACTGGGATTCCAGCAAGGCTGATTGAGGAGTTTGCCTGTGAGTTTAGCCAACCTGTGACTGATATTCTGAATACATCCTTATATTGTAGTCCCTCAACTATGGAAAGATGCTAACATAACTCAAATACCAGAGGAAACTCCTGCAATAGTGTCCAAACGGGATCAGGTCAACTTGGACCCAAACAACTCAGACCAATGCCAACTCAGACGCGAAGCCAACTCGGACCTGTGCCAACTCGGACCCAATACTAACTCGGACCCACAATCAAATCGGCCCCATTACCAACTCGGACAATAACTAACTTGGACCCACGCCAACTCGGACCCACCAAGCCTTATACTATTTTGGCAACTTTGTGATGATAAATGAAATGCGCAAAGCCTAACAGCCCCAGCAGCGAGGCTTTCGGCATGGATCCCAAAATATTCTTGCCTCTATAAATGTTCCGGTTAGCAATCAATACAATTTCTGTTGGTCCGAGTTGGAATGGGTTCGAGTAGGTTTGGGTCCGAGTTTACTCAAAATCATCCAAACTTAGCCTCACTGATTTCACTTTTTGCTAAAGTCTGTGAAGGTTTTTTCTCTCAATGGGCTCTTGATAATATTCTTCATTAATTGATTGTAATCAGTTTGGCAGTATTAAGGGATCCTCTACGACACATTGTTTGGTTGAAACTTTAGATATTTTATAGAAAGGTACACTACATTGGCTCTTTGGAAGCAACAGATTTCTCAAAAGCATTTGATTGTGTAGATCATACTTTAGCTATTCAATGACTCCATGAACTCGGTGTCAGAAGTGAGATGTTATCTTGAATATCTAGATTTCTAACTTTAATTTAACCCTTTAATTTTCATGGCAACTGTCAATAATGCCTGAAAGGGGTGTCTGACAAAAAGTTTTAAATATGTCGATGACACTCTTGTGGAAGTCTATTCAGCTTATGACATCAATTACATAAGTGACAATCATAAATCATCAATCATTTTTACCTGTTACATCCGCCCACTTTGTGAATATGCAGCTCCTGTTTGGCATGTTAATAATCCCAGTTCATATAACCATTTCAGTACAAACGTGAATAATGTTGGCCGAAATGTAGCCCAGGTTGGATGACGCCTGCATTGCATTGCATTGCATTGGTCTATTGTCTGCGCGAGGGGGAGCGGGTTAGTGTAGTGGTTCTTTCCTCGCTTTGCACCAATGAGGCCCGGGTTCGAGTCCTGGCTTGGCCCAGGCTTTAAGTGCATTTGGTTTCCAGTCCATACTCGCTCTCACAGGTTTTCTCCGAGTACTCCGGTTTCCTTCTGCCTCTAAAACTGGACCTTCTTCCTAACTGCGTAATGTGATGCTGATTAATAAAGTGTATGAATAAATGTACAGTTATTGGCGTAAATAACCTGAGTTCCTGAAAGCGCCTGTGAGACCTCAGTCGGTAAGGCAATCAAACAACTAATTTGTCTTTTTTTTTTACAATTTATTCCGAAATGTCCCAAGTTCAACACTTTCACATGCAATTAAATATGTCGTGTTAAATATATGCTGTCAATTGATAAAAGTGCAAAAATTCAAAAAATATGTTGATTCTCACCTGGAATATTTGATTTATTAACTGTACAAATCCTATATTAAAAATAATGCTCCGCTTCCGAAAGATGACCCTACTACGTATATTTGAATTGTTTCCCAAACACACAATGCCCCTTCAATAACTGTGGAACTGCCCTGTAATTAAATCCAAAAATTTGATAAGGACTAAACTAAAAGTTTCTTCGAGGGATTCCTAGGTAATTCAAGCACATCCACCATCAAAGAAATCAGAACTGTTTCCAATATAAGCATAGAAACAAATATAAGTTTGAAAGTGATAAGATTTGTTGCCATGCAACAATATAAATATAAAGGTGAAAGGTTGAGGGCATGCTCCACTCACGATCAAACAAGGGCAGCTCCCCACATTTATTTTAGCACATTGACTTTGTACGGTACATGTTTTCAAGGCACCATTTTGGTAACTTAGTGTTCTTCAATCATCATCAAAGTTACAGCCAACAAAGATCGTCAAACAAAAATAAATCCAAATTTATGATGTCATAATGATGTCATCATGTGAATTTTGATTGATTCTTTAATATTTACTTTTTCCATGTAGGTTTTGTACATGTTTTTTACAGAAAGACTTTGGGACTCTGGTCAATCTGCTTGATTTCATATTTGTGTACACAGTAGTCCCCAAGCAAAATCGTCATAATGACATCATCAGGTATCATGTGACTTGACATTACCAGTGCACTCTTCAAAGCACTATATCTCCTGAAGTCTATGGTCAATTGTTGTTACCTTTAAAAAAGGGAAGTGTTGTAGATGAAAATTGACCTGATGTAATGATGAAGTCATAATGACAAGTCATGTGACATTAAGGGGACCCTCCAAAACAATAAAACTCCTGAACTACATGCATGATCGTTGTAACCTAGCAGATATCTAGAGAGGGAGGTGCGGTAAATGAAAATTCACCTGATGCTTGCACTACACCATGTATGTGCCTATAGAAAACAGTGCAAAATCAGACCAAAATAGCACTGCCTGTCAACTCTTGGGAAGAGGTTGGCCTCTTTTTTTTTCACTGAAAATTCAAAATTAGGACCAGAAGATCGCTTTTTGTTTCAATTTTATGGGGGTTAGCCATGAAAATATTTTTTTTATTAACTTTTCCCTGAAGATACCCTAAAATTGTCATGAAGCATGTGCTCAGCTCTGAACGTAACCGCCAACCTCTATCCACGATAGGCCCACAATTTGGGGCTTTGGGGAAAGAAATACCCAGAACTGGAAACTATCAGTCCTAAATTCCGGATTTATAGAAATATTTCTATGATCCCTCTTGATTACGGTATGTCTTATTGTAAAATCCCTGTGGGATCACAAAATATCAATGAGCTCAGGTGCAGAAATACAACCATTTGGTGGAATGCTCTTGCCCCCTCCCCCCAAAAAACAGGCAATGAAATTTGTTTTGCAAAATAATGAGAGAGACAATGTTTTGTTTGTTTCATTTGCCTTCCTTCAAAAATGCTGGATAAAAGCCTGATTTGTAGCCTTACCCTGCAGAAGGCCATGTAACAATCTTAACTTGTCATGAAATGTTTTAGTAGCACTAAATTACAAGTCTCAGTGACTGAACTTGAAGCAATCATCCTGGCCCAAGTGCACAGACAATGCAGACTTGGAAGGAGTGTTCACTGACAAACAGAAGTTGGTCAGGAATACAAACTTCTCCTCATGCAAAAGTTCTCACAGGAAGGTGGTGAGGAAAGTCTTCCTGTTTGATAACAAGTATTTCACTGTGCAAAACACTTAACAAAATAAGTATTTTCTCAATACAAAAACACTTCACAGGCTTAAAGCATCGAAACTGGTCTCATCAGACTTTAGCTCTCTCCTCCCAAAGTTTCAACTCAATTTAACACTCTTTGTTTTGTTTTTTTATACAATACAAATCTACTATATTAGTTACTGAATATCAGTTATAAGTAAAATATGTGTACAGTTACATGTACGTCACCCTGCCCTAAATTAATGACTAATTCCATTGACCAATCAGAATAAAACCAAATGATGTAAACCCATGACTAATATCAATTTCTTAAATAAGTTCCACCCCATCATTTCAAAGAAATATTATTCCATGAAAAAAGGACAAGTTGTGGGTGCACTGGCCTCAGCCCCCACTTTCTATGTAACTAGCCATGTTTTATCAATGGGTCAACGTTTTATCAATGGGTCAATGGGTCAACTTGACCACTACACTTTTCTAGAAACTGTATCCCACCTGTTCACAAAATTTCAACCTTGTTACAGGTCATAAGGCTGAATTTAAAAAAAATGTTTCTTGTCCGGATTTTGGGAAAAAAAGGAGGAAGAAGGGTTTTTTATTTCTTTTAAAATGGCTGCCATTTTTAAATATCCTGCAACCATTAGTGTTTGCACGGTACAAAGACACTTGTAAAATGAAAGACAAGTTGGACAAAAGAACTGAACATATTTACAGTGTCGTTTAGTGTTGTATTGGTCTACAATGAAGTTTTAGATGCATTTGATTAACTGCCAAAAGTCAAGATTTATTTTGAATGAGTGATTTTACAGATAAAATCAAGCACCAAATGTCAGCTCTCAAAACCTACAAGAGTATACGCTAAGCTATAAATAAAAATATGTTTGTGATGAAACTAAACAAAACAAGATTCGGGCTTACAATGAGCATGCATGCATGTATGCATGAGTGACAGAAACATCGGCCACGCTAGACTGTTTCCCGAATGCATCAATGAAAATGGGATTAGGAACTGGACTATGGCCGCGCAAGCGAATTCTTTAAACAAGTGCTCAAGCCAGAGGGGCGTTTTCAAAACGAGTGGATTAGGCTTAGTCATTAGCTTCGCTGATCCCAGCCATTTGATGCAGCATTCTAAACTGCTTGCGAGGCTCTGACTGGAACCAGTGAAACTGAAGACCAAGCCTTACCCAGTCATTTCAAAATCCCCTTAAGTCCTACACCGGATGCATTCTGGCTACAAAGTACATGTACATACATGCAGACAGATTCTGGTGAACTCGCCTTGCTCTACACTCTTGCGTTTTTAAAAAAAAATATGATAAACAAATCCAGGCGGCCTCCAAAAAGGAAGCAGACGGGGGGCGAGAAACATTTTTTACTTCCCTAAAAGGTTCTTTGAAAAAAATCAAACTTCATGTATGTTGTCCCCATAAAATCCCCCGCCCCGAAAATTCAATTCTGGATGCATCCTTGGACTATCAAGTCTTCTGAAAAGCTAAAAATCCTAGAAAACATAATCTCTCTTATCTTTTACCTGTAACGTAGCTCCATAGTGGTGTGCAACAAATCTCAATGTCCTTCCAATTATCTTTCGTTTCTCTGAATCAAAATCCTGCAATTCAGATGTCAAAAGATGCCAGGTTTTAAAAAGGTGTGGTGAAAAGTCAACCTAGTCTTGGTCGTAAGGTATCAGCATGTCTGGAACTGGTCTATCACAAGAAGCTCAGTGCCATATCCAGCTTTTGGTGTCGGGGGGGGGGGGAAATTTAAAAGCGAATGTGGATCCGGGTTCATTTGATGTTAGGGAGAAAAAATTCAAAGCCTTATTCAGGGTCCCGACATTGTTGCTTTTATTTGCTGGTGTTTTTTTCCGAGGGTTTTGGTGCCAATAATTTGACAAATAAATATACCAATTACTTTCTTGCCTCTTATTTCTTATTCATGCAGAACATGTCATTCATCAAGGGTTGGTCCACTTTTGAGACATAACAGACTTTCTCTTTTCAGGAACAGTTCATCTCAAAGTGGCATGATATACTGGAATAAAAAAATCTATTGCTAGGGCTTCCACTGGCAAAGAATGAAACTTTACTTTTGCGACTACATTTTCATCCTCAATACATTAATTACAGTTCATACCTAATATACATTTATGGTTCTGTCTTTTTGTCTTGTCGTGTTCTATGGAAAGGCAATTGCTGGAAGTCTGGTATCCCTCTTCACCTCAATACTTCATGTTGACGTGCTTTTCTGATCCCAAGCATCTTTTCTTTTTGCCCATGTACCTTCTGCATTAATGTTTTGTGCATATTTTCTCCAAGTTTTTTGACAGATTCTCCCCAATCAAAGGAGATTTGGGAGTCCACAAAGGGTCGATACTTACCTGTTAAACCTTACGTTTGCATTTTACTCTAGCCTAAGCTCCTAACTGCTAGATTTTTTATAGCACAGTCAGTGGTGCCCTCAATGCCCAAGTCCTTAGCACTGGCATTACTCTGCCACCTTCATCCTTTAATCCTCAGTTGCGAGCACTTCTATAACTGCTACCAGGTGAGCCCTATGTAGGGGGGCAGGGTGGTGGACTCCCAAATCACCTTTAACTTGGGGGAGTCCACTTCTGGGACTCCCTTACCTGTTAAATCTTACATTTGTTGTTGGAGGAGGGTTTGGGTGAGGCTGTCATAATCAAAGTATCTTTAGCAATCATTATCTAGCCTTAACTGGCATCCTCTTGTGTCCGCACCAATTTGAGGGTAGGCAAATACCAAATAAGAGTCAGGGGAGTCAGGTTGGCACAGTGGTTCTTTCTTCGCCTTCCACCTCTGTGGTCAAGGTTCGAATCCCAGCCCGGTCCACATGTGGATTGGGTTTCCAGCCCCTACCTGATTCTGAGGGCTTTACCCAGAATGGTCCTCTGGGGTTTTCATCCCACCTAAGGTTTCTTCAGGCTTGTGAGCTACAGTGCCAAGGCATTTTTGAGGAACCCTTGGTTTCATTACCAGAAATGATTATAAATAATATGGTTTTCTGGCCCTCGTCTGTGGGGGGTGGTAAGAGCAGGCATTCCAACAGCCCACATGGCGAGGGCCTTTGTTTTCTTTGGTTGGTTTTTTTGTTAGTCCAGCACTTTCAACCAATCCCTGCCCGGGAATTATGCAAGCCATGGTAACTTGGTGCGCTCACACCCTTCTCCTGCTAACTCGCGGAACATGCCTGAAAAAACCTCCCTCCCTCAATGAATTCATTAGTCTGCCTAAAACTATAGAGTCTTGGTTGTCCCCTACTTGTGGATGTATGGAGTAATTAGTGCAAGTAAAGGGCAATAACTGGCTTGCTCTGATGAGGCCCTCTTTAACCATATGCTGCTGGGGAGCCCGGTTTCAGGTATGTGTTCTGCATACGCACAGTTCGGGAGGCAAAATCGGAAAAAAGAGCTGGGCCTCGTAACAAAAGACTAGCCTTGGAACAAAGACCTTGCTGCTGGGAATTGCCAACATTTTTTTAGCTGCCAACAGCCAAGCAAATCCATCATTGTTTTGAATGATTATACCACTGTTTGTGTCTTAAGCAACATTAAGCACAAATGAAAATGAACGCGGAACTCCAAGTAGTCTGGCACCACACCATTTGGTAGATTAAACTGAATAAGGTAGACTCAATGAACACGATGAAAAAGGCTTCCTTGTGAATACGGTCTATTACAGCTTATCTATTTTGGGGTATTTGCAAAAGGTTTATAAGGGTATTACTTTGGATCAGTGTGTGCACCTTCGTAAGTTGTTATTACTGATCATAGTCCTTGTCACATTGAGGATTATTGCCTCTACATGTATGTCAGTCATTCTGACATAAAGGTTTATGACACAGAGTCTTCTGGCGCTTCCAAATGTATAACCCCTGTCTGCCTCCCCCGCAAAAGAACAAAAACAAAAGCTCTTTGGTGTGCTGAAACAGCTAAACCTAACCCCCTAAGGAGTATGTAAAAATCGTATTGAAATTGGAGGATTTGGGACTGTTAGGGTTAAAGAAGAAACCTGCACAAAAGTTGAAATAACATGACAATTGACAAGACAAAATTACACACAAACTCACCTGGAAAATATCATACTTTGTACCCACGATGACCAATGGCAATGGGAAGGGGTCAATCATATTTAGGTCCTGTTTAAATACAAAAGAACCGGCTGACCAAAGTACACACTGAGTTAAGTTATCACACATCATTAATGCACTTTAAACCCTTCTTTTATGTACTAAAACCAATTTATAAAAGGGCAGTGATTCTCAAAAGAACCAAAGCTAAAACCCGATGTTTCATTTAATATGGTAGTCCTGAGACACATATCATTGGAAGATTTAATGGGAATGTTTTATCAAATCAGAAGAAGTAAAGGTACATGTACATGTACCATGCCTCATTGACACATTATCACAGGTGCTACCTTTGACGTGCAATAATGTTGAAAGTTGTGCGATATATTCCTTTGTTTTATCAAATTTGGTCATTTCCCGAATTCTGTGAAATGACTTGGCCATTGTTGTTCGGTTAAATCAGGGTTGACTGCCAATTGTGCATCATTTGTAGAAAAAGGTCATTGTTATACCTTTAGCTTAAGTACTGTATTCTCATTGGCCCAGGACTATCATGTTACCAGGTAATAAAAATGTACATTGCCCTCAACATTGTGCATATCGTAATTTCACAAAGCAGTACCCACCCCACAATTACAGAAGGGTCTACAGTTATGGAGTGACAGTAAACACATAGCATACATTATGTGCAGGCTGTGGTTTTTATACGGTACCTGTAGATTTGTTGATGGGTAGGATTAAACTTGCACCCAGAACTTGTAATTCAAATGCAGGCTTACTTCATTATTTTTGTGACAAGCACACGACAGTGTACATTAGAACTTATATGTACTGAGGCACTCTGGTTAATATTAAATGCTTTGCACATTTTAGACAATATAAGTGGTTTATGAATAAAATTATGCATTATTATTCATAATTCAATAACTTTTTAGTGATGCGTGTCAAATATGATAGGAAATGGTGATGCAATAGGAAACATATATAAGTCTGAGCAAATGAATAGTGCATTTCCACTTTAATGCTTTACTCTGCACCACCACTCACTTAAACTCTCTTAATGCTGAAACTTGAGGAAAATACTTCGATTTAATACATCTCCTAGAGTACTTTACAATCGAGCAAGCAAGTCCAATTCAGAAAATTCATGTTTAATTTTTATTTTGAATTAATTCATTCACACAGAGAATTCAGCTGTGAAGTCATTCAGGTGAATCAAAAGCTTGCTGCCAGAACATTCAACTTTGGTAGCATTGATTTGCTGTGAAAGTGGTGGTGGTGGTTGCATTAATAGACCATAAATGTAATAAGCACTCATCGTTTCCTCAACAAGATTCTATGAAAAAATCTGAAGTCTACCACTGCGTTCAACTAACCAAATAGTAGTACCCAAACAGTAGTATATATCCAAATTTCCCCTACTGCCTTTTACCATTTGCTAAAAACATGATCAAGTGTAGTGCACCTTCCAGTACCACAATGCATTGCAGCACTGCCGCCATGTTCATCCTTTTTCTTAACACCTTGCCTAACAGATGTGTTAGTTTTGGCATCTTCAGAATTTTTAGTTTTCCGTTCACGCTACCTTCACACAATTCTCATGAATCTTCTCCCTGGCAACCACCACCTGAAGATCCAACACTCTGAAGGTGATGAATATTCTGCATAAGGGCATCAAGTCTACACTTCAAGACCTCCTACTCTATGGTAAAGACCTCTTCACTGGCCACTTCATGGATAACTTGGAATGGAGGTGAAATAGATTGACATGGCCCACAAGTTGTGCTTCCAGGAGTCCCTTCAGGCACTCAACAACCCGTGAGCCACAGAGGCCAACAGTTAAAACTTTCCTTGCGGCCTTCAAACTCCAGTCCCTCAAGGTCATTTCGTCTTCCACTACCCCAAACCAGCCATCACAAGCCTCGTCCCTTACGACTGTACCCCAATTTTTTTTCACCCTCATGAGACTGAATGAAGTTTCAACCATCCACCACTTGAACACGACTTTAATCAGATTGTTTAAACAAAAAAAGGCAACACGCAAGTCCAATGTCATCCACTGTTGAAGTTCATCAATTGTTTCATTTGCAACCAATAAAAGTTTTCCAGATATCAAATCTACATATCGAAGTTACTGCTGACTCTCAGGTATGTAATTCTAATGGTACACATGCAATATGAGAGCACATGTAAGACATTACAGGTAATGGGGTATCTGCAAAGTACAATCCTAAAAGTAATCAGAAACGTGAGGTGCATATCCAGGATACATTGCTCTAACAAGGATTTCAGTGTTACTTAAGATAAGAAAAGCACCACTATGATCTCAATTAATAAATAATGATTTAGAAGTGGCTATTTCTGTGGTCAATTCTTATTCATGAGCAAAGATCGTATAGCGCCCAAGGCGCAAGATGGATAACTCTGCCCAAAAAGTGTAATTACCATGGGCACCATTTGAGCAAGCGATACGCCTGCGCAGTTTACGGTAATGCTTCGGCGCAGGCTCACCAGGTGCACGTGCCTGCCGTTCCATTTTCTATATTTTTTTATCTCAGATTTTTCTCAAATTCATCTCAGATTTATCTGAGTTATTGCAATCTGCCGTCGCCTGCAGAACTTGAGGTACAGCAGGTGCACATTATGGAATGGTGATCCTTGGTTGATGTTAGCAAGCCAGGTAGGAACTCAGATTTTCAACCCTTGGATTGGACTTCTGGATGGCGAGGCTGCTGACAAAGAATTAGCGACTTCAAGAATAATTGGAAAATGACATTTGAGAGTTGTTTATACTCGTCAAGGATCCTTTGCAAATGACAGAGTTGTTTGTGTCCAAGATAAACAGAATTTTGTTGGACAGTTTGGACTGAGAGACATTCTCATTCTTTCTATTTTTGTGTGCCTGCCTATTACATGTATGTACTACATGACTACTACACAACACTGTGGATGCAAAGGCAAAAAAAAAAACACTTCGTGCAGCACCCGTACCTACGGCAAACAGTGCCGGTGACTACTCAGATTTATCCATGGCCTCCGATCCCAAACCCAACAGCAGCTGTCTTCAGTCTTTCGCAGGGTTCTGGCTGGACATTACATTGGACAGATGGGTACTTGTTGCCATTTCCCTCAGGTGCCCTCTGGAGTTCACGAGTACATCTACGTCCAAATCAATTCTTCGCCCAACTCCAATCCCCACGACAAATACAGACGTCAAGCTGAGTCTGAGATAGATGCTCTTCTCTGCAAATGAGCAATCACACATGTCCTGCCCTGCCTAAGACCAATGGCTTCCAGTCAACTTTCTTTGTAAACCCCAAAGAAGGAACCAGGCAAGTGGTGGCCAATCATCAACCTCAAGCACTCAACAAATTCATTCGCCCCCCAGAACAAAATTCTGCATGGAGAGGCTACGGTCGGTAACACAATCTCTTTTCAACTCAGCCCGGGCAACATCAATCAATCTGAAGGATGCATATCTTCACATCCTGATACATCATCAAGATAGCAAGTTCCTCCCCCACATTAAGTGTGGGTCGGGTCTATCAGAGAATGCCTACCCAAATGGTCACTACATATGCAAATTTCCCAGGTGCTTATTATTTATTCACTGAAAAGATTTGATCACCCGTGGCGCACCCTCACCTCCCACAATGCAACGCAGCCTCACCGCCGAGATGGTCCTTCTTTTCGAAAGCAACTCAAAAGGTCAGAGCCAGAGTGGGGCGGATGGGTGGGAGAGGACCGTGTGGGTAGGTATTCTCTAGTAGACCTGGCCCACACTTAATGTGGGGAGGAGTCTATGGCACTCTAGCTACCCAAGCAGTCACTCTATACGCTGAGTAGCACCGATCTAAGTGGGGGGTTGGCAACAACACATGTAATGCCAAGAATGCACATTCACATATAAACAGCGAAGAGTGAATAAATTTAAGAAATAGTAAATGAAATCCAGGATGTCTTGTCGTCCATTCTACTGGAGGTCCCTTTGACCTCTACGTTGCGGACAATGGCATTGTCCTGCCATTTGCGATGTCGCTCTGCAGGACATCCCTAAAGTTGCAGGAGGTAAGAGACTTCCAACATACAGCTTTGCAGATGTCTGCAATGGAAACATCTTGAGAGCGAGACCAGGATGCAGACACTACTCTTACATCATGAACCCTGATGTAGTGTTGACTATGTTCATCAGAGCTTGACGGCCAGACTGGATTAGCAAATCTAATGGTAAATTCCGTCCAGCAGGTAAGAGTGACTGACGCCGCTGGACGGTATGGTCTTGTGATAGTGATAAGCGATGGGTTTATCGTCCCTTTTAGGTCAGGTAACACTTCAGGACACGAAGAGGGCACCAAAGTTTTTCGGCATCGTCTCCAGTTAGTAAGGAGGCGGAGAGTGCAAAGATATCTGAAGGATCAGGTGAGGGAGTCTGATCCTTTGTCAGGAAGCCAATCAAAGGAATGAGGTGAACACCATGCGGCTTCCAACGTAGACAGCCTTCAGCAACAGGGAGAGCCTGTAGTTCACTGCCTCCTCAGGACGTAACCATTGTCAGGAGAAAGGCCAGCCTGATGCTGGTGTGTGTAAGGGAGGCATTATTTAGGTTCAAAAGGAGGACCAGTGAGCATGTAGAGAACTGAGCCTAGGTCTTATGACCAGACTAATTGCCCGAAAAGGGGACACTGCATGAACATATCATGCAAAAGGTGATGCAATGTCATGCTGTTAAAGGTGATTGAACTGACTTTGAAACCAACACGTATAGCAGCTAGGGCTGTCCTGTAGATAAGAGTTGTAGATACTTGTAGCTCCGAATGAAAGAAGTACATAAGGAAGTCTGTTATAGCCCTCACGGGAGTGTTAGCTGGGGCTGAAGCTTGATTGTCAAAGCACATAACAAAATGCTAAAATCTGCTGTCACAAATTTAAAAGGTGGGCAGATGATGTCCCATGTGGCCATTGCTGCAGCATCACTAGAAAGTCCCCTCAAACAGATAGACCGAAGTAAGTTGAGTGTTGTTCAGAGAAGCAAAGAGATTAATGTAATTAAGGCTGCTCTATCATACGTC